CGCCATCTCATGATCCGCCCTGGTTCGGCTCAGCGCCGCTTCCGCCCAGGCGTCAACTATCTCGCCCCTGACCTTCGAGAGGTCAGACTCCAGTTTCTCGTTCGTATCCGCTTGAACCTTGGCGTTACTTCGGGATAAGTTGAGCTGGGCATCGAAGGCAGGAATCTTGGCTGAAGCGCTCACCTCCTCTAAGGCTTGAGCCCGCACTTGGCCCTTTAGTTCCTTGCAAGCTGCCCTGACACGGTTCACCTCACCCTTGAGGTACTCCAAGGCCTCTGTCTTTTTTTTGGAGCTAAAACGGCAAGAAGAAGTTAGCCTTAAAAATTAAAAAGAAGCAAAGAACGCACTGCAGGAAATTACCTGCTCCATCAAATAGCTCTCATAGTTCGAGCTCCGATACGCCTCATATCGCCAATGCTGCAGCTCAACTTCTTTCTCCTTGCAAAGAAGCCTAAGGGATTCTCCCTCATCCCGAACCCTTTGGAACTTGGCCTTTTGACGAAGCGGCTCAGACTTCAGCCTATCACAAGCCTACACAGGAAAGATTCAATGAGGGGAGGAAGACGCAGGGTATGAGAGAATTATGCACGAACTCACCGCAAATGAAGATGGCAAGTTTTTCTTCAAATCAGAACACACTCCTGATAATACCGCTCCCGCAAACCCCGGAAGAACCGGCTACGGACATAACATGCTCATTCGAGGGAGCCGCTCGCTGAGAAACAGGTACCCCGGGGACAGCCGACTCGGTGATGCCCCGTCCTCAAAAATACGAGCCCGGCCAGAGCCACTAAAAGCTCCTTCACATGGTGGGTCTCGAACCCTCTTGCTGCTGCCGTCTCTCGGCTCGGAAGCCAACGATTCTATCTCTTCTCCAAGAAAATGCTGCCCGCCCCGAGGAACCGCCCGATATCTGCAAAAACAACGCGTCCAGCGTAGATGAGATGGGAAAATGCCACCTCAGGAACATATCGACAAAGAAGCAACATACGCACATACCTTGATGATCCACTCCCCACCTGATGCGAGACATAGCTCGCCACCTGCGTTCATCGCAAGACGAATGGGTCACCAGCCTCCGAACCCAGCTGGGCAAATCGTGAACTTGGCTAGGCGCCCATGAAGTTGCTGCAACAAAGGGAATAATACTGATTACTTGGCCGATTTTCGCTATGAACAAAAACTGAAGGAACGACAAAAGTGCCTCACTTACGCGCGTAATTCCACCCCTCGGGGAACGGCAGGAAATCCACAGGGATGACATCGGTCGTCCTGACTCGGACAAACCAACTGGCCCGCCCTTGATCTTCCCCTTCATCATCGTCAACAACAAAGGGCATGGGCGAGCGATCCCTCAAGGTTAGCGGACCTCGATGGTGGAAAGGCCGATACAGCCTGATAAGATGGTCAAGCGTGAACTCAAGTCCGACCTTCTCTGAAAAAAATCTCATCATCAGCACTGTCCGCCAAAGCGACGGATGAATTTGCGCCAAGGTAACCCGATAATTCAAGCAAAAGTCGAGCACGACCTTATCAAGAGGGCCAAATGCAAAAGGGTATAAGTACACGCTCAAAAACCCACCAGCAGAGTCTGTGATGCCTTCACGAAGGGAAAGCACCCACAGTGTCATCCCCTCGCTCCACCCACAGTATTGCCTCGCCATCTCCAGGTGTTCCTCTCTCATCAAGGACGCCGTCGCCAGAGCGAAGCCCTTCGACTCTCCAACACCGGGAACGGCATCCCCCGTCCTTTGCCTTAACGATTCCGAAGTGGTCGCCATAACTGAAGCAGAACTAACAAAATAAAGCAAAGAAGCACAGACGTTTTTTCGCACTTTAGGAGATAGGCAGCCCTATGTCGAAACGGAAGAACAGCTGCCCAAAAATAGTGCAGTCTCACAAAAAGGCCGAAGCTACCCCTCTTATATACAAAAAGCAGCAGCGAAGTCACCTATCAGATGTAAGCTCCACGAAGCCAATAGCCTCGATACGGGTCGGTGGGTCAATACTGACCCAGGAAACATCCTCCAACGGATGACCAAGCTCAGAGATCCACGCGAATCATCTCCATGCTCCAGATAGTGTTTCACGTTTGGAGCCTCCGTCCACCAAGAAGCAGGGTCGCGATAAGCTCCAGGGCGCCGATGCCAGACGCAAGGCGTGTGCCCGGGATCACAATTCCCTCCGCGGATGAGCAAACCCGAAGAAGCTCTGATCTCCAAAGCTCTACGAGGCCCTAAAGAAGTGCCCTACGCATAGGCAAACTCCTCGAACGGAAGCCAACCTTACACTCTTCGAAAGAGTTATCCACATCAAAATCGACAGGGCCCACCGAGGCACCCAGGGATGACCTTCATCCTGGGTATCGTTCCCGAAGGCCCCGAAATTTGATGCAAGATCTCCAAAAAAACCAACAGGCCACGGCAGCTCGAGCCTATCCGATCGATCCCTCGCCAAGCCCAAGTGCAACAAAAAAGAAAGTAGGAAAAAACCTTGCCGATCAGCTGGGGACCAAAACAAGCTATCACACCAAGCTACAACGGCCCACAAGCAATAGAAGGCATTTAAAAATCCCGAAGGGAGTGAAAGCAAACAAGCGCCAAAGGAGAAGCGGAGATCTATCTCATGCGGCCCGAAAGGACCATCTATGCCCAGATCAATAAGGTCTGTGGGGTACCCGAAGATGACCTACATCCGGAGCAGTGCCCCAGGAGGCCCCAGAACTCGACGTGCGATCTCCGGATAACTCTAGAGACTCTTACAAGCACCAACCCGTCAGATCGACCCAAAGTTGTCCCGAAGGACGACAGTGGGACCAAAAAAGCCCATGTCAATCGGTGGGAAATCAAAGCAAACACTCACGTCCAAGATTAATATCAGCAATCAGCAACACAAAGGAATACATTTGAAGAGCCTCGAAGGGCATGAAAGCATAAGGAAATAGAACAAACTCGAAAGCAGGGTTCAACAAATTTCATTTCTCATTTATAAAATTTTCAAGTACAAAAGCCCCCGAAGGGTCACAACGTTCGATTACGAAGCCCCGGAAGGTCGCTACATACAAGGTACAAAGGCTTACAAGAATCTACGCCTAAATCTAAGGAGCGGAAGGATGTACATGTGATGAAACCTGGCGCCCGATCCGCCCTCGAGAGTTCATCTCCGGTATCAGCATACCCGGGCGCCCTGCCCTAGAGCACGTATCCTCGAGGATGACTCCTTTGACCTCCATCCCCCCATAGGTTCCCAGCTCGATCCCCTAAGAGATCTCCATCGGGAAAGATGCAGGGAAGGAAAAGAAGGGGGTGCGGAGGAGGCAGAGAAAAGAAACATGGCCCGCCAAAGCCAAAGCTTGAAGATTCGGCGGGCCCCCGTCTAACAGCCGGCAGTGCCACTTTATCCTTTGGGAAGGAAGAGCCCTAGGAATGAAGTGCCACACCAGGCCCAGGTAGAAGAGTGAGCAGCAGTGCATAATCCGAACAACCGTCTAAGCAAAGGTGAAACCAACTCTCCATCCATCGCCATCTCGAGCCGACGGTAGCAGCAGCGGCCAACGTACATGTTTACGTTCGATGAAGGTAGACCCCGACAGAAGGCTTCAATGCGGCCCGGAAGTTCCCCTCCAAACAGCCTCAAGATAGAAAGCTCCCATCATGATAATCAAAGACAAAAGAAGACGATGGGAAGGAAGAAGCAAAACGTATCAGCAGAAGTGTTGAGATAAAAATATGCAATACCACAAAACGCCCTCATTTATAGGGAGGAAACAACACGGTCATCGATGCTCTGAAAGATTGACCGACGGGTGTAATTACTACGTCCTTGAAAAAATGAACCAAGGGCAGCACTTTTGCCTCGAGGAGCAGAAACGACAGGACGTCGAGCAAAGATCTGTGAGACACGCCAACGGATACGAAGGATTGGCCGCGATCTGAATCGCCATTATAGAATTACCAAAGGAAGCTCGAGGAGTCGAGTGTCGGAATCGTTTCCCATCACTTCGTCATGAGAAACGCGGAGACTAAAGGTGTACGCGGTAAAAATCAGAAGACTTGATTTTCGCTATCAAGACAATTTCGGAAGCCTTCCTCGAGACCCCAAGGATGGAAGGCCATGACCGAGTTCTCGGCCTCAGGGCTCGTCGAGGTCCAAATCAAAGGAAGCAGGGCCCGAGGTCAGGGTGAGAGGAGATGTCTCCGAAGCACATGGCTATACCTGACAGTGTCGGTCGATCTGTAACCTACTGAGATGACGTGCGATAGGCCGTCCCATCTTTCTACTCTTGAAAATAATATATGCATATTTTACCGAGTCCCCTCGCCTATATAAGGGGGGCTCACCCCACCTTGTAAGGGACTGATGTTGCTCCACTTCTCCAATAAGCAATAATATCTCTCTCTCTCTTTCTTCTAAGTTAACTGTGTTCTTCGACCCCGAGGTCGCCCTAGCATTTTATTGTTCTTCGTTTGTTCTTCATCATTTAGCTCAAGATTGACGGTATAAAGCCTTGTATACACATACTTATCTGTTATCTCCTTCCCGACTACCCTCGATAAGATTATCTCCGATAGGCCTGAGGTAGGCTCGAGGCCTGGCCCCGAGGTATCTACTGGCTTGTTCTAAGCCCGGGAACGCCCCCCCTTACTGGTTCGATTGTTATTTTGGCTAGCTTGATCTTTACTGTCTTACTCCATATTTAACAGTAATCACCCTTCCAAACTAGCTCGGGAATAGCTCACGTATTTTTAGAATCCCATTTATAAATTTAATTGTTGTTACCATTTTCACGGTAAACAAAAGGAAAGCATTCCCTTCAACAAAAGTAGTTGTTCTAGTTGTCCGATGATGGAGTCCTTAAATATAAGGGTCGACTGTGTGTTCTCTATGTTTGGGAACTCCGAGGATAGATTATGGTGGAGATTCACTAGTCCAGGTATTCTATTCATCCTGGGTCCACTAAGATGTATCATGACCTTTGACAGATATACTGGTGGAACGATATGAAGAGAAATATTGCCAAATACGTTGCTTATTGTCCAAATTGCCAACAAGTTAAGATTGATCACAAGAAGGCCGGAGGATTGCTTCAGAATATTGAGATTCCGACCTGGAAATGGGATACAATCAATATGAAATTCATTACGGGATTACTGAATTCTCATCGGAAGTTCGATTCTATATGGGTTATTATGGGTAGACTTACAAAGTAAGCTTATTTCTTACCGATCAAAACTACCTTTTCAGCTGAGGATTATGCCAGATTATATATTAAGGAAATTGTTCGACTTCATGGAGTCCCGATTTCTATTATATAGGACAAAGATGCCCCGTTTAAAGCTAAATTTTGGAGGTCCTTCCAAAAAGGTTTGGGTACACAGATCAGTCTTAGCATAACTTTCCATCCACAGACAGACGGTTAGGCCGAGCACACTATTCTGACACTCAAGGACATGTTGCGAGCCTTTGTTCTAGACTTCAAAGGAAGTTGGGAAGATCATATGCCGCTCATTAATTTTTCTTATAATAAGAACTATCATTCTAATATCTAGATGACACTATATGAAGTCCTATACGGGTGGAAGTTCAGGTCTCTTATCGGTTGGTTTGAAGTTGGCGAGTCAAAATGGCCATGATTTGGTGCAACAGGCCGTAGAGAAGATGAAAGTGATTCAGGATCCATTGTTGACCACTCAGAGTCGACAAAGTCCTACTTAGATAACTGGCGTCGAGTATTAGAGTTCGCTGTGGGAAACTTGGTGTTCCTGAAAGTGTCTCCTATGAAAGACGTGATAAGGTTAGAGGCAAGCTTAGCCCAGGTTTGTCGGACCATATCAGATTATCTAGAAAATCGGCCAAGTAGCTTATAAGTTTGAGCTGCCCTTGGAATTAGAAGTAGTTCATCTTGTGTTTCATGTATTCATGCTTCGTAAGTGCTAGGGTGATCCCTCCCGCACTACCCCCATTGAGGATGTCCAGGTCACAGAAGACCTATCATATGAGGAAATTCTAGTAGTTATCCTAGATCTCCAAGTTCGTACGTTGCAAACCAAAGAGGTGGCTTCAGTTAAGGGACTTTGGAGAAACAAAATTGTAGAGGAAATAACATGGAAAGCCGAGGAGGATATGAAATCCAGATATCCTCATTTGTTTCTGTCTGCAGGTTTATATCGACACATATTTTGTTTAGGTGATAATGCTGAGACAAATATGGCAGGCACAACTCAAAGTACAGTGGATGATAATTGAGGTGAGTCATGGCTAACCCATTTTGATTTCTGCATAAATAGACGGTCTTGTGAGGCCAATTGGATGTTATTATGCTATTATGTAGCCCTCTGTGGTATTGGTTGTGTTCTTAGGCTTCTTATCTTTCGAGTAGCCCTATTTACAAAGGAAACTATGCCAAAATTTTTGGAAATCTTGGGAGTTAGAATATTATTCAACATTCGAGGACGAATGTTCCTGGGAGGGGGTGATGTTACACCCTATACTTTTGACGTCGATTGCATTATTAGCTAAATAACATAAGCTCGGAGTGTTGAGATCCCTCTAAAAGGTTAAGAAAGGTTTATTGAGGTGATAAGTATGTTTCGTAAGAATTCAGGGTTATACGAATCAAAGAAAATACTTTTTGATGAAGTTCGCCAAAGGAAAGTAGATTTCCATAGCCTTACTTTTGGGGTAATAATAAGAATGTTTAATATGATAAAAAGGTCTTGTTATAAGGTATTTGATTTGTATAATGGTCGTATGTTAAGCTTTGAAGTCAAGTAAGTTGAAAAAAGAATTGCAAAAGTTGTCACAAGATACGTTCATAATCATACTGAAATAAGGGTCTAATGTCATTGATCTTTTCTCTTAGTGTACTTGGATTTATGGTGTGTTCTATCCACCAACTTGAATCTCTACAAGTCTAGTTTCCAACACATTAAATCATTCGTCAATAGGACATCAGAGTATAGAGATATTTGAATTATTGCGAGACTACGCAAGCAGCTCCCGAAGGGACCCACTTTACACAGTGGAAATATTCAGATATATATCAAATGCCTACAGTCCGTTTTCCTTTGTGTTTTTCACTACTTCTAGACCCAAAACACTCCCAAACCCTCTCTAAGAATTCTCATATGATCCAAGGCCAAAATCAAAAGGAAACCAAGTAACTCCAACATGAAGAATCATGTGGTCGTCGTCTTATCGCTTTTCTCCTTGTTGTGCTGATTTTGGAGACTCCTTGGTAGGGAAGTGATATTGAAATTGGAGGGATTCTTCTTCTTGGAGTTAATTTCCATCTTCTCTTTCTTTTTCTTAAGTTTATACAAGTTGTAGGAGTGTTATTACTAAGAGGTTGTAAAGAAAATTCTTGGAAAACTTGGAATTTAGTTGTGTGGTGCGAGTAGCTCGTCTGAGACTATATGTTGGTGTTAAATTGATGGATTTGGTTTGTTATGTTGCTAAAATAGGGCGAAAGATGTGGTCTTGATGTTAAAGAACTTGAGAGTTCTATGTACTCAAGGTGCTTGACAAATTGTCTAAGTGAAGGCTACCTATAATTATTGATTCTATTTTGATTCCAATCATCCGTATGATGTAGATAATTGCCCCTAGGACGTGCGAGGATCCGTGGAACGTAATTACCTTCATCAACAAGGTATGTAGGGAAAAATTCCTTTCTTGGAATGACTTTGTTTACCTTGAAAATGGTAATGACAATTATATTTGATTTTGTGGTTCTAAAAATACGTGATTTATTTAATTTTGTTAGGCAATACATTCTAAGTGTAAATAAAGAGAATAAGGAAAACCAAAGTTGTCACAAAATCGAGCCTCGAGCTGGCCGGAGCGGGGGCTTCGAGGCTTGCTTAGGGCAGTTGGTAGTGAGCTTATAGATGAAGAAACAATGGTAATGAAGCCCCAAAGATGGCCTTTTGCGGTTAATAATGAGCAATATATGAAGAACAATGAATGAACAATAAACTAACAATGAAAGAGTAAGCAATAAAATGTGTAGAACAATTGTTTAAGCAAGAGCAGAGAATGTTGTATTGTAAATCAATATATCGTGTCCTTAAAAAATGACAAGGGTCTCCTTTATATAGGAGGGGTGAATCCCAACACAGTACATGTCTAATAAATGACGAAGAAATGCTACTAGTACAGCTGTACAACGGCTCAGTACGGATTTATACTATTCTTGCAGACTTTGTCAGTCCTCATCGCGTGCCCTTGAGGGTCTTCTGCCTTTCCATAACGATCACCGACTTGAGCTGGTCCGAGATTGACCTTCGATATGCCCCCTCGAGGGAAGCACCTCGTGGTCTGCCTTCAAATCCTACTTCGAGCTCCTCGAAGTCGGGTGTGGAGTGCCATAGTAGCCCCAAAGTCTAACTCTCTGATTTTGGCCGTATACAGATAATCCCCGCGTTCCTTGGAATGAAATAACAAGGAACAATTTGAATTCTCTAGATCTTCAATGCCTCCACCATTATGCCAATTACGTCACGCGAGCGGTTGATATGACAAAAAGGGATGTCCAAAAGTCACATTCGCACGGCTCTCGAAAAGCCTCGAACTGATTATGACGGTTGGCCGTCCTTTGGTTTTTCCCAATGAGCATTATTGGCCCCTATAAATACTCCAATCCTTTATTCCTTACTCTTCACCATATCTCCGAACTTTCAATAGCTCTCCTTACTTCTTTCCTGCGCTCGTTTCTAATCCAGTTTTTCTCTTTTCCTTTGAAATCTTTCAGTAGAAATGGCGAAGACTGAACTGTTCCCCAAGGTGATAAAGCTTCTTCGTCCTTACGCTCGTCTAAGGACAAGGCCATAGTGCCTCCTCGTCTTGAGGAGTGCATCCCCGGACCCTGTGAGACATCCTCTGATTTCACGATTGACAAGCCTTCTTCGAAGCCGGGGCAGTGCGAACCCATGTCCCGATACATTAGCCTGATAGACGACACTGAGAAAGTGAAAGCCGACTGCCGCTGGGGAGAGGTGGTGCAAGTGGAGGTTACTTCTCGGAAAGAAGATATAACGATACACAAACTGGGTTTCCTCAGTGTATACACATATCCTTTTACCCTAGGTCCGTTAGATCCATCATCGCCATTGATAGACCCCGTAATCCTTGATTTCTGCGGACATTATCGGGTGACGATCAACCAAATTCATCCATCATTCTAGAGTGTTGTTACATAATTAGGCACCTTGCAAACATGGTCGAGGGGGTACCTTTTACCCTTGACCATCTGATTAGGATGTACAACCCCCGACTTTATCGAGGTGGTCTGATTAAGCTTCAACGTTGGGCCCCAAAGGCTTTCTTGCCTGTACCGCA